GACCCATAAGTCCTTTCGGTCATTGTACCGTTACAGTCTCTAAGCGTGGAGACGGTACGGACGAGCGAGAGACTGTGGAAGAGTCTAAGAGGAGGAGGAGTGGGAAGACCAAGGAGCAAAACGAGCCCAGGAGATGCATGCGGAGGCTAGCCTAAACCATACAATGAATATTTCCTGACATCTTAACTGATGCGCAGTGCATTTATCGACAACTAAAACTAATTGAGATTTATAATGCACTGAATCGTCCTTATTCTAACCACTGTTACCTAATGTTAGTATTTTCCTATATTGTTCGGAATATATTTTAATGTCCGTGTTTTTTAATTTAAGCAGATTCCGAGTTCTAGGGTTTAAACCCCGGGAGGGAATGATGTTTTTTTYCCTTGCCTTACCTTCACTTGCCTGCAAAAAAGGCCTCAGTAGAAATAAACCAAAAAACGTCAGAATCAGTTGGAGAGGGTACAATCGCTAGATCCCCCATTTGGACCCCTTTCCCAGAAAAAGAGGCAAGAACATCTCGACATAATAATAATTAAATAACTTCTAAAACGCAAAAATCTATATATATTCAATTGCGCTATATAACTACTTACAAAATGTATATACAATAATAATGATAATAATGAAAGGGAGAACTAGTGAAAAAATGAAAGGAAAATTAATTCTAATTATGACTAATGCGAGAAAGCCCTAGTAAATAAATGTGTCTTTTAAGAAACTTAAAAGTTTCATCTTAAATGAAACAATAGAAAGGTTAGTATTCCAAAGGTCTAAAGGAAGTGCATTCCAAATCTCGGGCGCGGCCAGCAAAAAACGCGCGATCACCCAGGGTACTTTTTGATTTAATTTTAAGATGGCTTAACAGTGTGCCATTACTATTCTTCCTAAGGTTATACGTAGACTGAGGCAAAACTGAAATAAGCTCAGCCAGGTAGAGTGGAGCAAGCCCTTTTAGAACTTTAAAAGTTCAGGTAGACAGGACAGGATCCCAGAACTAAAGGTGACATCGTTTATTTATGTTCATGATAACATATTAAGAATTGTGCAATAATGACAGAATAAAAAGACATTGTTGTGCACGTTACCTCCATATGATCTGGTATCCACTGAACATCTGTCACTGCTGTCTTGTGGGTGTGCTCAATAGATGACACAGCACAGTATCGAATCACTGGAGACTGATCTTTGAGCGAATCATCTTCAAAACCAGGCTAAAAATGAAGACATCAAGCAAGATAACATCCACAAGTTAAAAAGGTACACTGAAGTAGGGTTTCCAAACTAAAGAATGGATTTTTCCATATGGGGAGCTAAATCTCGGAAAAACTTTAAGTGAGTTACAATACTCCGAACTACTAGGGGAGTTTTGGGGAATTTTGAAATTTGGAGTCCCTGCCACATCATTTTCAACACTGACCGTGAGACGAATATTCCTGTCAAAAAGTATCAGTAAATTGGTCTTCATTTAAGACTTGTTTTCCATAAAATTATAGTAATTTCTCAGTCGTATTCAACGAGTTCAAGTTCAAGAAATCTGATGTTTACATATAACTTAATTTAATACCGCTGGCTGGCTATAGTACTGAACTGGTAACGAAACTATGGCTATGATAAACTATGACTTCCTAATCTAAAACTCCCGAATCATTAGTTGTCAATGGTTCGGACCTTAGATGAGAAGCTGCCTTCAATCCCAGTCAGCCAAGAGTGAGAAAAACGAGAGCGAAGTTTCTTTGTTAAAAAGAACACCAGTTAAAAAATTCATTTTGATTTTGTGACAGAGTTCATGTCGACATTGTTGGGAATATTCCAGAAGTCACTGTATAGATCCCTTGCAGTCTGTTGTAATGCAGCTCAATTTGGAGCACATAACAATAGAGATTGAAATTATATTGTTTTGTCCTCCAAATCCAGCTGCTTTGGCGTCAAATGCAAGGGGTTTATTGTTCTTGATATTCTTTATGGATAGTCATTATGGATTTCAAAAGCGTAAAATCGCATTATAATGAATAATGAAATGACCTTGTAAAGCGGTCAAAATTACATAAACTGGCCAAATTTTGAGGCTGTAAAGTATTTCGTTGCGAGTAAACATGACGCAATTTTTGGAGCGGCCATCTTGGTGCTCCAAGTTGTTACACCATCATGGCGGACGAAACTTGAAAGGCTTAAGATGACTGGCTACTTTTGGAGCAAATTTTTAAACTTTTTGAAAAACTACAATTTTCTAATGTAAAATTTAATGGCGTTTCCAAATATGATAAGAAAAATGGGGTGTCCCAAGTTCGTTTCCGAGATAATCAGCATTTAATAGATGCCTGCGCGCGAGGTTTTGAAGCAAAACTTTCGCCACCGGAAATGATCAGGAAAAAAATTAAAACTCACAAGACTCTATAATTGCACAAATGCCGGCAAGTGAATCATTCTACAATACTACATAGATATTATTGACAAAAAGACATAGAAATGTATTGATTTGTCATATTTCGTCCTTTCAGGGCCCTAAAAAAATCCATAATGGCGAACAAAAATTCCTACAAAAATCTATATATTCGTGTGTTAGAAAAATTAACTTTACTAAAGAATTTGTTATAACGTAGATTTTTAGAAGTTTTTTCGAAAAGTCTTAAAAAAGTTTAGAGTCCCGTGAAGAATTTGAGGATTTTGCCCTCTTGAAGTTCAAAACGTGAATAGTTTTTCAATGAAATCTTGTAGATTATTCGTGGGCTCAAATCGAACGTTCAAAAGAAGGCAGTCACCTCAAGATGATGACAATTTTTTTTTACTACAATTCACTTAAATATACTTTAAATATATATTTTAAACACGTGGTGTCTAAGACAAAATCTTTCAACTAGAGTAAAATATTTTGATATTTTCATCCCTATTCAGATAGACGTGATTGTGTTGCTTGACACAAACTCAACCTTCATAACTCGGGAACCAAACATCGAAATAACTCGAAATTTTTTCTTGTGACTTATAACAGGATATAACAGACTTATAAGGATTTCTAAAACATACTTGAGAAATGCGTTTATACGATCTATAGTTTAGATTTTGACGTTTTGATGACGTCATGTGAAAATCGGCAATTGGACTTTGAACACTTCTATTTCCACATTTGTAATTTAATTAATTACAGGGATACCTGGAGTAGCCCTGTCGTAAAACGCTTTTGTTTTTCTTTTGTCGTTTTCCTTCTGATTCCGACCACACAAAATGGCAAAGTTGCGAAATAGCATCCTGTGTCAATTGCGGCCTCAGTGAATGAAACCTGTAAAAATGGTTGACGCTACCATATTCTAGACATACAGGGTCACATGGCCGATCAGAAGCTTTTACTTGTGTTAGGCCGGGCTTGCAAAGAAGAAGGCTATTTTGGAAATGGAGTTTGATCAGTCATATGGACGTTGACGCTTGATCTTGCACTCTTTACTCGTCGGAGTGTTAAGTTTACAATCAAAGACGAGAAAATCTTTGACTTTACATCGCTATCCCTTCCATTCTTGCAAGTATATGGTCGATAACGGTTCCATTCGCGAACAGTATGGTCGACGTAACAAAGTATTATGAAAAATAAAAATTATCATGTGACTAACTTATTATATCAAACATTGTTTAGACATTCAAATCAACAAGAAGACGCCATGTTGGATTCACTTTATGATGCGAAGGATCCTAGCCGTGATCACAGGCTTCCCAGACTCTCAATTCGTAGATTGGGTGCTGCGCTTCCTGTGGCGCTCACAACAGCTTTGCTCGAAGTAGGTAGTTTAAAACTAAATTGTATGCTTTTTCCTTAAACTTAGAATAGAGTTAAATACAAAAATAAATTAAGATGTGTTTTATTTTGTCGTCCAATGCATTTTACGCTGTTTATCAGTTGGGTTGTGAATACTTACTCAACTTACACAAGGCTGACAACTAGCTGGCGACTTATACTAAATAAAAAGTCATAGAATTTAATAGAAAGTTTCGTCGTCCATGATTTGTGCTGATGTCGGAATTTCTTTGGCTAAAATGAAAACATTCAGGCGTTCCGCTAGCGTTGACAAAATGACCCGCGAGGTCTTCTTTAACATAATCCTGTGTTTTTTTTGTTTTTTTGTTTTTACTTTGGAATAACAAATAACTACAGCTTTATAATCCCCGAATGATGAGCACTTCTCAAAGAAAATACTTGTAAAATGGTAAGAACCATGAGTAAAATTGGCGGTTTGGATACTAGATATTTTGTGCCTGGCGCGTTTTTGGTCTATCGATTTACTTTTGGTTTTGCGATTTACTTTTGAGACTCGTTGTGTGGCTCGTTGTTGGTGGTCCCATGTTTTAGCATCAACTTAAGCACGTTCATGGGTATTTTTCACTCGCATTCTTTGTACGCATGAATTTTGTGAGCGCTCCACTCCAATGTTTTGATAAGCAAAATGTATCATAAAAAAACGTCTTTAATCTCTTGTAGCTCTCAATCAAAGTCGGGTACCCTCTTTTTATTTCGTTTTTCGAAAGTACTTTGTAAAACCTTACTTCAAAGGAAAAAATTTAAAAATCTGAAGATGGGAACAAATCGAAATTAGATATTTTGTGTATAATTGGAATAGAATCTCACGTAACACAAAGGCCAAGTCCACACTTGCGCAAAATAACATTTTATATTTCTAATTTTTGACATATTATAAACGCGAACTAGTTACTTGGTTATTTTCTGGACTTCTATGAAAAACAGAGACGATCAATTAATTTTTCAGAAAGATACAAATATTTTTTGACAGTGTTCTATGATAAGCTGCATGTTCGCGCGTTTTAACCGTAAAAAGGGCGAACGTCCACGCATTCTGACGGCTAAACGAAGTTGGGAACCCCCGTTTTTTATGTGCCTATTTTACTTCTAGTATGATGAAATTTAATTATGCAAAGTTTTCAAAAAAGCTGACAGTGGGATCTTGGTAATCTTTTACGCATGAACATCCTTAAGGTGACTCCAACATAATTGAGTGAATTTTGCGATTTCCGGCTTCAACTCGCTCGTATCGCGTCAAAAACATTTCGATATTTCTGAAGTAAGCACATATAACTCAAACATTTAGGCTTTTTCCTGTGTTTTCCGATTTTCTAACAGTGTTGTTTCACAATATTTTTTACCTGTTCGCTCAAAAATCGAACAATTTCCACGATACTAGATATAGATTTTTGGTAAACAGATTGTTACCATTTTGTCTATCGAGTTTGGACTGAAAATCTAAGTTGAATAATACCGATACTCTAGTGCATTATTCACGCTGTTCTACTACATTATTATTTTTATCACGATTTATAGTCGGTTGTTTATCTATGATTTGCGAATTGCACTTATAGCGAAGCAAAATAGAAGGCCGAGTCTAAGGCTGTAGCTGGAGTTCAACTGGAAAGCAAGGAACTAAGTAAGGACGAATGGCCTACTAAGGAAATCCTTCTAGAACCACACCTACTAAGGGAACGTCTTTCTAGTGAGCTTCAAAGCATATTAGGGTTGTATCAAACCTCTCGTATTAAAGTTAATCAGTCTCCTAAAGAGTGGTACTCCAGGCGATCCCGGAGCTATTCCAGCTTGATCTGATATTGGTGGAGAACCCTAATTTTATAACATCTGATTGGCCGACAGCTAAGTTCAATAAGGACAGACAAATAGATGACGTAAAGTTTTTCAAAGCGAGACCTTTGGATTTTACTTTTCAAAATTTCAAAAAGTTTACCTATATTTGCACAAAACAACGACAACAAAAACAACAACAACAACAACAAAAAAAAAGGCTGTTCAACAGCTAAATACTCTCTGAGATTATCATGCGTGTTTTTTAATGCATTGACAGCTTCAAAGGGAAGGATTAACGATCAAGATCAGCAAAAAAGATGAATTTTATCTTCCTTCTTTACGACAACTTTGGTGCAAGTTAAAGAGTCTAAAATGGCATTCAACTCCATTTTAGAATTGATTCTTAATGGCAGCTAAATCCAAAATGCTAATTTCTTCGTCGTAAAACAAAGTAGAAATCAGTGGTTGGTACGCTGGTGTACGAATGATTTATTCGATGATTAAAGTTGATGATGGTGGTTGTGATAACGATGACCGACTGCCTAGTATAACGGTGATAATTAGATTCGCAAGAATTTGAAAATAACGTTCATAATAATACAATATAATATAAGTCCAATGAGTATTTCGATAAAGTTGTTATTATTATTTCGAAAAGCATGGTTGGGTACAATTTATAGCCGACCGCATCAAGCTTGTTTATTCGCTGATATTTTCACATGTGAAAATAACATGTTACTTCCACATGTGAAAATATTGTTACCATGTGTATTTAAGCTATTAGTTAGTTAGTTATAATAATAAATAATAATAAATAATATGACGTAAAAGAACCACTGAGGACGTAAAGAAAGCCTGGCAGTGACCAATCTCAGTACCTACACCTCATACTAACCACCTCTCATGCTGTAAATTGCACAAAAAGCAATCTGTCATTCACAACTTAATGTAAAGCGCCTTTGATTATATCCAGATAGGAAGGGCGCTATATAAATCATAAATCATCATCATCATAAAATTGTTAACAATTCATTTTATACTAACTCTCAATTCGGACTCTAACTCAAACTCCTCCTGTATGCAATTTTTTTGAATTTCTTTCTTCTTTAATTATTTCTAGTTAGTATTAACTTTGACTCATTTAATTTTAATTTGTAGCCGTCATTTTTACTCTTCCTTGAATAGTAAGTTTGTCAATCATTATTAACTTTGATTTTTAATTTAATATATAAATAGACTAAGAACATGCGTAATAGGTAATTTACGAGCCCTAGATGAGCCCATCCCAGACGGCTTACTGCCCCATCTATCATATAAATAGACTAGTAAACAAACTTACATATTGATCAAAAATGCTTACCAACGAGTTCATTGAATTCCTCTTGCTTTGACCATGTGACTGCCGATGAGATTTTAACCTTTCACTGTAGTTGCTGATGTCCCACATAATAACCTGGTGCATAAATATATTTAAATAAAGTTAAATTTTAACAAGTAACCAATTTTCAAGTCTATCAATTTTTTAAATAGATAATCTATAAACCTATCAAATCTATTAAATCTACCAAATCTATTAAATCTATCGAATCTATCAAATATATCAAGTCTAAAGCTTATTTAAACGCCAGGAGGTCCCGATGTCCCCGAGGTCTTGAATATACGGACAGAAGCTGTTAGGCCGAGATCCGTTTTCAAGGCACAGGGCACAATTTTTTCCCTATCTGGACCAATTTTAGGGCGGTAAATAACTCATTTATTCTTTCTTATTCACTTTTTTTCCACATAATGCGCGCGCGGATAACCACGACACGGGCAAAAATCTAACCGCATAGATTTTAGGATACCGGACTGAAAAAAAGCTTGATAAAGACCAGTCAGAGCTTAGATAAATGGAATTTGGTTATAATTTTTTATTTTGATTTCTGTTCTCTGAATGAGAATTTATACTCTCTCCAATTACTGAATTAGTATCCATCTACAATACGTTACTCTAACTAGGATGTTCAATACTACTTTACCTGCCCATTGATACACCCCCCTGCAATAATRTTAGGATCTGATGGATTGAATTTGAATGAGTAGATATCATCTGGTGCTTCAAGGAGAATCAGCGGGTGTATGGGATCAGAGAAACTCCATATCAAAACTAGTGAAGGTGTCATCAAAATTCGAGAGAATTGGTCAATTCTGTCGTCAAATGCCAGCCTTTCGCCACAAGAAACAGCAATTATACCTAGTATGTATATATGAAAAAATGTTGATCATCATAAAAATCAATGCTTAATTTTGATAACACCGTTACTACACTGAAAACTCTGCATGCACTCACCCTTAATTGTTGGGTGCCACTCAATGTGAGTTATAGTCTTTTCCTTACTGAACTGAAGATCTGTGAATGATTGGTATTCCTATAACAAATACAAAATAGTGGTTTTACGTACTATTTGATAATCAAGCAGCAGTGTTTTATCGCGTTTAAAACCACAAAGGGTAGCCAAGTGGTTTAAAAAAGCTCATGAATAGTTGATAAACATTTGAACCAATTGGAGCGAGCATACACTTTACTTGCATGGACCTTTAAATCTCATAAAGTCTTCTTCATGTGAATTATGCTCAAGTTTTTTCAGTAGTTTAATAAACTCGCTGATCGTGTTTTATCGTAAATATTTGGAATCAACGAGACTGCATTACACAAGGCCATATTCAAGGCCTGGTCTACCTTTCTGTACATTTAAAGGTAAAATATAACTATTGATTTTCTTTCCATAAAAAAGTTTATAGCGTATTTGTTTGAGCTCAAGTTTGAGTCACTAAAAACTCGCCCTTCCACCGGCCAGCTCACTGCAGCGAAATCGAGAAGCCTTGCAGTTGAGAAGTCAATTAGTTCAGTTTTTCTTGCTCAATCCGCCGTACAGGTCATCACAGCAGTCCAGCAAAACACACAGATGTTTACTGGAGTCCAAGTAAAGCCACTGATGCATTTTTCGACTCTTTTCGAAAATTTCAGATAATTTGTGATGAAGCCAAGCTCCAACCATAGTTAATAGAGGGGAATGGTTAGGAAACCTATTGTTATCAGGTCTTTGTTCGCTTTTGATGTTGAACCGGTCACGATGTCTGATTTATGCTCATCCGAAATTGCAAAATAAGTAAACATAAACTTTGCCTATGGGATTGTTGTAAGGAGTATTCAAATATCTCTTATAAATTTCTAAGCATTTTGAACTAGCAGCCAAAAATAATATTTTGGTCTGTTTACTTAGCCATTGCCAACAATGGTAAAATAAAGGACAGTGCACGGTCAAGCTTGAAAAAAGTGAACAAAGATCTATAACAAAAGGGTTTCCTAAGGTTCCTGTATTAACTATGCTCCAACGAAGATCGCTAAATCGACTTCTCCTCAGTGAAATTAACTTTAAAATTTTCTTGTGAATGAAAACGTTTATAAATACATTTAGGAACTGCTTCCCTTGCATACATTTTTCGGAAAAAAATTTTAAAATGAAGTTTAAAACGCAAATTGAGTTGTTTTTGCTCCGACTGAGATTTCAAATTTAGCTCGAAAAGTATCGTGCTCGCATCTTAGGAGAATCTGTGATTTGATCAGAGCGAAATATACCTCTTTATGTTATAGAAGCAATGGTCTATGCTCGGCTCCGCCTCGTGCACCTCTTACGCTACCATCGTGCTCTCTCAACTATCCGCGTGCACCATCAATAAATTTAAGCACGCTAAGCACTGACCATTGCTTAATTGCCATTATTATAATATATGAATTATAATTGCTGGTGAGCTAAATTGCAATCTGAATGAGCCTGATTCTTCTCAAACAAAGAATGTCTTGGAATTCTTGGAACTTACAGTATCTTGGTATCACCTCAGCTAATATCTGATTGTACCAGACATTCTCCGTACTAGCTCGTTTCTTATCGATCTTATCAGTTCTTCTCATTAAACCAACGATTTATTTACACGAGTCTTGCAAACTGCCCTAAGTGATCGTCGGCCGATTTATGGAGTTCTTCCCATAGCAGTACATCAAAATCATCAATTCATAACAACACCTAAATGGGACAAGGAGAAGATCACCGGCTTTGTTAATGATTCAAAACGGAAAGTTTCATGGGAACGAGATAAATCCAACGAATGCGACACGGACGATAGGACGGAACGGAAAAAGCGTATCAGACAGAACTTTCGTCCCAGACAGATCCATCTGATGAGGATACGTAATGAGTTCATCCCTGTGCTAGAATATCCGGCGATCAAGAAATGTGGAAATTGTGTGAACAACTAGAAACCGTGTAACAAGCCAATTGAGAACAGCTTGTACAACGAAGGCGAACAGAATACCTTAACCTTGTACTGCCAGGAAAGCGTAAATCTTCGCATATTGACGGGTTGCTTGTCGATGATTCTACAGATCCTAATTTGAAGGTTGATACACTAAACAAACATTTCACCACCATAGCTCAAACTGTGCTGGCTTACTCATTCCATATTGATGTCCTCTAGCCCAACAACATCTGGAGAGCAAGAACAACACGTACAGCCATTTAGAAAGACCTTGAGTTTACACCAGTGTCTAACGAGCAGGCCTGTGTTAACTAAACAACAGTAAGGCGACAGCAGGTGCTATTCCCGTTAAAGATCGCTTTGGGTCATATTGCAATTGCACCTAGTATTGCCTACTTGCGCAACGAATCTTTTCTTCCTTTTTACATCATCCTGGAAGATTGCACGTGTTATACCGTTTGTTTAAGGGGGGAATGCATCTGATTGTGACAATGACAGGCCCATCTCCGTATTGCTATGACTCTCGCGAAAGAAACATTAATCATCGTGTATAGTCGCACTTAACTACACGTAGATAAATGGAAATGGGCTATTGACCAAAATCCTTAACCGTGGTCGTACTTTTAGACTTATTCAAGGCATTGATGTTATAAACCATCAGATACTACCCTCAAAGCTGGAAAGGGCTGGTATCATAACTTGGGCAGCATATCGCTGGTTCAAAAATTATCTTACGAACCAAAAGCCGTTTGTTGGGTCTAAGGAATCTCATGGTCTCTGATGGTCTTCAAGCAACAATGGAACGATCGAGATGTACCCTTCATGCAGACGACACCGAGATTCTTGCAAGTGATACAAGTGCAGCCTTAGCCGCAGTCACAATGAACCATTAGTTAATGGATATTGAAAATCAAATGGTGCCTCACCAAGGAAAATCTGAGGTGATGAAGATTGGTTCACTTCCTGCTTTGCGATCCTCGAAGGAAATTGAGATTTGTCTTGCCAGCCATCAATTTAGTAAAAGAAGTAAATGCGGTAAAATACCTGTAAATACTTGTAAAAAGGTATACCTAAAGCTGCGCTTGCTTTATTTCTCATTTCCTGTCAAAAGAAGCCTTATTGTATATTTACAAATAAACCACAAAAAAATCAGTGAGATTTAAGATTATAAATGAAGAAAAGATGCTATAATAAAGTTTCCATGCATTGTTATTATCATCATTATATTACCTTGAGATAGCTGTCAGACTTTGCACCAAATGTTGTTTCATCATCATTCATTGCAAGGTAGTCATCATAAAACACATCCATGATCTCATTTTGCTGAAGAGCTAACTCAAACCTAAATGCAGTTCAGCAGAACAACAGAGGACATTATTAGGAAGTGGGTTAGCGAGAAAGAGTGTGTGTGCGCGTTGTGTGGGGGGTTAGCAAAGAAATTAGGATTCTATTTTTTTTATCAGAAAATCATTGTCAACAGAAAAAAAAACAAACCTTGGGGTGATCTTTTCCACGAAGTCTTTTAAGCCATCAGTTTTATTTACTTCTTCTTTTTCTTTTTCATTAAATTCCCTTGGTGTATACTGTGTAAAAGCATTGCAGGGTTTTCTCCTAAAAAAAAAGGATGTATGATGTATCGTTAAAACAACTTCCTCCTTTGGATCTTGATTCAGGCTAAAAACTGTGTTGGTACAATTCGATTTTTAAATCCGCTTTGATAAACAAGTTTTACTAATTGAATTACTAATTTAACTTTTGTTTTCAAATTATTGAAATTGCCCCTGTCGCAGCAGCAGCAGCAGCAGCAGCAGCAGTTGTTTTGAAAGCTCAACCAACTAAATCCTCCATGTATGTCTATCCCAGCCTACCCTGCCAACAGGGTTTTGTTTTCCTTTTAACACCTACTTCGTTTACTTCTTTGTTATTTTGTTGACTTTGGAAGCGAATTCTGTGATGAATTTATTTTCTGAAGTTACGTGTTCAATTACGAAAGACGGACTCCTATTTGATAAGTCTTCTGAAAAAYAAATTCTGGATTTTGTTCTTAATTTAAAAGTCGAGCCGAGTTTTTTCAGGAATCATTCGTATTCTCTACTTTCACATCCCCATAATGCCTTGCGTCTTTGGGGGGTAACCAATCAAAAAACTGTCCCAAATTGAAAGGTTTCTTAATTGAATTTATACTATACCTGCTTTTGTCTGTACAATACTGATTATCAGTTTATTCTAAGTTATTTTTGCGTGTACAGATCATCAAGAGTTTTGGTCTTACAGAAAATGTATTGACTTACAAAAAATTAAACGTCTTCAAGCTTCTATCTTTTTCTGTTTTTTACTTCTTCATTTTATTTTTGGATACCAAACAAGGTATTCTTAACATTGTCTAATCAGGCTTCAGCAAAATAAGTAAAATAAAGCAAAATACCCTCTGGTTTCCCCCCAAAGACGCAAAGTACATGTATTATGGGGATGTGAAAGTAGAGAATAAGCCTTTTTGGCTAACAAAAAGCGTTGCGTTATGCGTTACAACATATCTTGACTACTTCAAGGGTCACGGCGCTTTATACAATCGATTTGTTGCCTGACGTTTTCACATGAAACACTTTATTTTACACTGTGAACTAAGCGAATAAATTCGATTAGAAATACTTTTTCATCTGACTTCATTCAAGTCTGTAAATTAATGATTATTTATTGGAGCGAATTCTGGTTAGTTAGAATTGTACCTTCGCAAGTGTTATTAACATACAAGAACATAGCCTAGGAGGTTGGCTCTTTGGGAAGGCGAGGGGGACTAAGACTCGACTTTGATTACGAACAAAAAAGAACTATACGCGATGCATTTTAAGACTCGTGCCCCCGGCCTTAGGGCCTGGGCACGAGTAATTAGCCAAAATATGCTTTCACAATATAAACACTTGATATCATTGAATGATCTTCAAGCTAACCCCCTAAATGAAGAGTTCTCTACCTACCATTCCGTTTGGTTACCAGTATTTATTAGTTCAGGAATTGCCTGAAATCAATTAAGAAATAAAATAAGTTCAAAGGATAAGGTAATTTGAAGTAAGGTAAATTATTATAATTATTAATGACATGGGGGGGGGATGGGGATTCAGAGCGGAGAGTCATCAGTAAAATTTGGAACTCTGGTGGAAATCAAAACCTTTTTATTTTGACAAAAGCTTTCTCCTTGTCCACTTAATAGGAAGGTCATTAATTTCTTATTGAGAGAAATAGGGAGGGATGCAAAATTTTTAAGTTTATGTTTTCTAATATGTAAGAGTCTTTATGTCTGTGCATAAGACTCCAAATGACTAAATAAATATTATAGTAGTAATAAATTGTGCGTTCGGAGTGTGTAATGAAATAGAGAGAATAAGAGAAAAATATCAAATGCTCTTGGCGGGAATCGAACCCATGTCTTAGGTATTCCAGTCCGATGTGTGAAATGTAGCCGGAATATGAAATGTAGGGTACTCGTGAGGATCCCAGAGCGATATTTTTTCCCTGTAGGTAAGTTGAACACCGTAAATATGTACGCAAAGAATAAACATAGTACAGTAGTAATAAATTGTGCGTGCGGGTCCTCGTGGTGTAGTGGTTAACATTGGACTGGAATACGGAAGACGTGGCTTCGATTCCCGCCAAGGGCATTTGATATTTTTCTCTCATTCTCTCTATTCCATTATACACACCGAACGCATCATTTATTACTACTATACTATAAATAAATATTACAGGATTTATTAGAAAGCCACAGGCCACATGGGCTTGGTATTTCATGAGGATTTTGGAGTCTCTTATGAGACACCGAGTAGGAGATTTTGGGGAATTCTTTACTTCAGAAGTCATCAAACTGCCCAGTTAGCAATCATGAGTTTCAGTCAATTCGTTCGCTGCGCTCAACTCGTTCGATTTCAGATACTTCACTAACTCGTGCGAAAACCCGTACGCGCGCGCTTTCCATGAAGTAATCTCTATTTTTAGTCCTCTTTGCTCAAAGTACTCTAATATTGTGCAAGCCGGCAGCAGCTCTATTCAAGGTATTGAATGATTATGAAGCGTCAATGAGCAATACAGCATCTATATCATCAGCTTCAAATATACTATGCACTGCATGAATCAATGCTTCACTTCCTCATTTATGACCTGCGCAGACCGGGAGAGAACCGCTGGCATTGATGAGATGCTAGCTGTTTTAACACCATTATTATTTGCCTGGTCATGCCTGTAATGGAATCAGCTTATTATTGTTGTTGTCGTTGTTATTATTATAATAAGTAAAATTAACATACAAACTGTTCTGTACCTGAGTGCTCTTGTCAAGTTCTTTTCTTAAAAAGCTTGGTGTTTCTTCTTCATATGAATGACATTCTATGATGCCATCTTTGGTATCACTGGCGTTTCGAGTTGTAAAAGATACAGGAACTCCAAACTCTCTTCTAATTCTTGAAATTCTGAATTTCATCTATAATTATATRAAAAAATATATATATTTAGAATTATAAATAGGCATATGATAAATTGACATGAAAAAAAACCAGCTTATCTTGTGTGATACAGTAGTAAACTCTCTTGTGACATTCAATCATTATTTTAACAGTTTTTGCAAGAACTCGAATCGTACATGACCTTATAGCCAAYGAGGCCTATAGCTGAGCTCATAGTCAACGAGGCCTATAGCAGAGTTGGCTATGAGTTTGTGTATGACGACAGTGAGTGGAATAACTCTTTTTATTAATTACTATTTTCATTAATTAATCAACTAACGCATAGAGCCTCACAGCAGGGGACGTCACATGGTATATAAGCTGTTAGCCTAGTAGTAAAGTAGCCAATGGGAGTGCGTGATTGCTCATAACCAGGTGGCTATCTATATGCTAATCAAGAATATTTCACAAGAGCACAGGGACCGCGGAGCATATTGAAAAGTGTGTGTGGGGGGGGGGGGGGGGGGGGGGGGGGGGGGGAAGCTGCCATTTTCCTTTATGGGTCTTAGACTAATGGGTTTAGGAGTAAGGAAATTTGTTTTTTATGGGTTTGTGGTTTGGGATCAGTTACATACTGCTTATTAAGCAGTTATCAAAGCTGGACTGTTGGGTTTTGCTCTTTATTGGTAGTACAGTCTGTGGTGTTTAGACCTAACGCACTTTCTTTCACAACAGTTTGTTCCTCATTTTTGGTTGCATGACCTCCAACTTTATATGCTTAAGTTTTTCTACTCTGCGCTCCACTACAGATTATGCGAGACGGCCAATACTAATGCTTCCGTTTTAATCCTTAAGTTACAATCATATTACATCCTGACAGCGTACAACTTACTGTGTTTCGACTAAATCAATAAGCCCCCCCCCTCTCCTCAATTAAGCCCCCCCCTCAAACGTGCCTGAAATAAATAAGCCCCCCTGGGGGCTAAATAGAGGATTTACGGTATTTGATATTATTCTTTAAAAAAAAAAAAAGAAAAAGACTGTGCTTGGAATCCCACTAGAGATCAGCAACAAGAAGGAATGGAGTGAGCGATATACTGTAGCTGGCCATTCATTATTTTTAACTGGCAAAGACAGAATTGGCAAAGCATCTACTTTTCATTCAATCTAAAATTAATTTCTAATAATAATACAATAAAAACATCTATTGTTGTTCCACTGGAATTGCCCATTCTAATCTACAGTACTTGGTGTAGAGATTATACCTAGACCAAATATCTTGGTTATCTGCAGTAGTAATTACATGTACCTTTTCTCAATTATAAAAAGACCAAGGTGATGTTAGTAGGTACAGTACAGCTCTGAGGTTGCGCCTAACTTCTAGTTTCACCATCAAGGCCAATGACAAAGTATTTGATAAAGTTTTTTCAGTTTTAAGTACCTTGGGGTTATACTCGATCCATGCCTCACCTGGAATGATCACATTGATTATATATATTGCCAGTAAAATATCGTCCAGGCTTGGTATGCTTCGGAAGGAACGTAAGATCATTCCACGAGATGAATGTATCACTTTGTATAACTCCATGGTACTTCCACTTTTTGATTATTGCTCTTGCTTTTGGGATAGATGCATTAACACTAGGAAAGAGTACCTAGGCAGGTTACAGAGGTGCACTGTTGCCATCATAGAGGGCAGAAAAATCAGGCAAAATGAATTACATTTCACCTTCTCCTGGCCCAGCTTACAGTCTCGTAGAAATTTTCAGAATTGTATGCTGGTATACAAATGCCTAAATAATCTAGCCCCAGCATTGCTATTAAATGAACTCCAGTTTTCTAGTCAATTCCATCATCATAATACTAGAAAAAGCTAATCTGCTCCATTTACCGTTAGCATAAACTTCTAAGTACCAATCTTCTTTTCGTTACAATGGGGCAAAAACATGGAACATCCGAAATACCTCAGCTTTGATGCCTTTTAGACAGGCATTCAAAGTCCTTTTTTCGTAACTAACCATAGTTCTTATATTTTTTAGTCATAGTCATATCTTCATGTATGTAAACGCAATGTGATACATGTATGTCTTGTGCAGTATCTCATTTTAAATCAGCTATGCTGAATTGGGCATCTCTGCTTAAATATTGTCCATATTATAAATAAATAAATAACAACAATCTGTCCCTTTGTTGGAATTAAACATGGTAGCTTGAGACTTTATGCAAGCTATGCAAGGCATCATAAAAACCAATGTCGCAGCTTGTACATATATACTAGATGGCTTGACGTTTAAATTTAATATTATTGACGGAATATCTGTGATCAGTAAATATTAAATATTTTTTACTTTGCTGGAATATATTGCAACAAATGAGAGAAAGTAATCTTTAGTTTGGAACATTACAATATGCATGATATTACTTTATTAATCCATTACCTAAAAGTTATAAAAGTTATTCATCAATACCTCCAGCTGATTTCACTAAATAACTGGTACAAACAACTGGAGGTGATGATCATACAACACTTGCTTTGTTGCAGCCCTTGTCATCTTTTGACTGCTTACTAGAGAGCACGTTACCAACAATTATCAATTTGTTAAATGTTTATTAATTAATCTTAAACTCCAATACTTCCAATATTTCTTACCTTTTGCCTGTTTTCAACCACAATCTCTTCATTCACTTCAAGCTCACTGCCAAATGAGTCCCATGGCAGAGGAGTCCTTGGAAACTGCTTTAATTGTTCTACCAATTCCTCTTCAGCTTCCTCACCTGCAGTACCTTCTTCCGCTGCTGATGGGGGCTATAACCATAAGTAAATATTTAATTAGAGGGGTGGTGAAAGGAGATAAAAAATCTTAGAGAGAGAATCAGCATAATCATATCAATTATAATGATCATATCCAGTTTCTCATACATTTATCCTTTGCGCAGCTGTCCTTAGGGGCCACACAGAATCCAATAATTACATCAAAACAAAATCTAAAATAATATTTAATATAGAGTTGACTTTGCTATTTGTGAGCTAAACATCTCTCTTAAAATCAAACTATACCAGCATGAACACCTTAAATGTCTGGAATGTTGATCGTGTTCTGACATTCACAGAACAGTGTCCATTAATCTCCTCAAAATCAATGAACTGGAATGAGACTCAGTACCATTGGGATATTGAGATACATGTACATGGCCTGATACAGCCAGTATGGTCCATATGCTTTCGTACATAATTCAGAGGCCCCTGTTCGAAGATCACTTGCTGTCATAATAAAAACAATCCTTTTCAAAGGGTTCCGAATACCGTTTGCCAACTCACTTTAAACCACAGTATACTTTAAGTATCTTGAGACTTTGAAAAAATAATAAAATTTAGCATTTGTGTTACTTGAAGTATTGTGTTACTATAATAATGATTTTAACATAATAATATGCTGTTAAAATAATGATATGCACACTTTGTCCATATGAGAGTCGTTCACGATGCGGTACGGTCCGTATTGGACCATATCAGTTCATGTGTATTGGACCATCTTCAACATATGGAAATAATAAGACTATTAAATTATGTGCTGGCAATGGCTTCTTGGATAATACCATGAATCAAAGAGGCTGCATCTGGGGTATTTTATTTTGTGACAGAGACAACAGTCAGAGAAATGGAAACCATTTCAAGACTGGGCTGTGACAGGCAACCCAGTAATAAAGATTGGATCCACATTTTTTGCTATATACACATGTAGGGGCATGATCTGAATTGTAAAAACTGCCAGGGTAATTTCACCTAGTATGAGATTCGTCTAGCGCAGGATGTTTAACGAAAATATAAAACCTTATTAAAATTTAAGGTAAGTGATCATGCACTTTTTTCCCAACAAATTTTTTTAGGAAAACCTACAGATAATACATTTAACATGTCAAATTCACACGATATCAGGGATTGGCTGAAGGTTCTCGACCAATCAGAATTGAGATACATAAAATATATAATAAATAGAGGATATTACATGGGCGCGCGGAGATACGAAATTTATCTTCGAGTGTTGAAAAGATCTCTCACAAGTGAGCGCAGCGAAGTGAGAGATTTTCAACACGAGAAGATAAATTTCGTATCTCCAAGCGCCCATGTAATATTCTGTTCATTATATAATTATCAATGAAGTATGTTTTGGCTTTATCAGGCAATTCTTTCCGTGTATTTTTGAATAGCCATCGCAATGGTGTTATTTTCACACGTGAATAACATGTTAAAATAGATATTTCATTGGTAATTATAAGATAATAATATTTATTACATGTAACTTACATTTAGATGTCTTTCCTTGGCTTCTTCAGTGAGGCAAAGATAAAAATTCTGATCATATTTAAAGCTAGGGTCATAGACAATGAGTACTTCATCAGCAGGATATTCCTGAAAAACATTTTAATGGAAAAAAGCAGGGAATGAAAACAAAAATTAGTGAAAGATGTGGAATTGTCCATGGCTGATGGCTCAGTGTTCTAGCTTATTTCTTGCTTTTATGTCTTGCCACGGATAACATGGCAAGACATACTGTAAGCATAAAATAAGCTAGAACACTGAGCCACAGACAAAATAAATTAAAGAGTGGCATAATCACCCCATATTACCCAGGGAGTAGAAGCAGCTAAGATAAACATGATGCTGACATAAATCAAGGAACTTTACAGCAAATGAACAAATCCTTTATTTTCATTGTTTTGAAAATAGTCTTAACTGTCAATAAAACCAATTCTGGACCCTATGGCTGAGCTTATTGAGTTCCAAGCCCTGCAATTTGAAGTTCTTAGGTTGCAAAGCACAAACATTTCTGGCCCTACATATTCTCCAAAATGCAAATGAAAACATTTTTAGGATGCCCAGAAAATACTTAGCAGCGCGAAACGTCATCTAAACAATACTGACTCGACCACTAACCTGAATAATTTTCTTAGCAGGATGGAAGTCAGATATTGCAGCTCTGGATTTAAAATCTTGTTCAATAGCTTCTTTGCTTATCAGTTTGAATGGGTTTTCTTCAGTGACATCTTCATCGCCTTTGCAACCAAAAATCTCTTGGGTTTTACTGGTGAAGAAAAGCGGCATAATATCTGAGGGAATCTTTTCTTTTCCTTCGCCCTCGCCATCATTACTTTGCTCCGTTTCTTCTCTCTTCTCTTCGGGCATGTCAAAGTCTTGGATGAAACGCAAAAGAAGCCCTACAAAGGTTTTTTATTACGGCCGCAGAACTTTATGAGTACAATGTTGCCGCCATATTGAAAATCAACAACGTGTGTCTCTTAGGAAACAAACTACACACTCTGTCACAGTCCCTCGCTCAACTGCTCATTCTCGTGCCCAGAGCTTCCTCATAGCAAAAATAGTTGATTCTTAGGCCCCGTCCACACTATGCCGGATAAATTTGAATCCCAATTTTCATTTATTCGGTTCCATTTCGAAAATTCGTTTTCGGTGAAGAATTGTTTCGGATTCGCCCGGACTAGTGTGGACGGTAGGCCCAACCGAATAAATAAAAATTCGAAATCAARCTTATCCGGCATATTAGTGTGGACGGGGCCTTAAATTGATTTATCTAAATATTCACCCAGTGTGAACAGTTGTAAAAAAATATTTAGCAATCAAATCATGAAAATAAACTATAAAATAATAAAGATACCCTAAAGATACCAATAAATGAGGTAATTCTAAATTCCAATAAAATACACCAAAACGCTAAATTTTACCCCTAAAATTAAACCTATTTTTACCCCGGCGTACCCCTCCCCCAGTTCCATTTGCACATGACTGACTTTGAACCTAAAAGACGATTATCATAAAGCTGATTTACTTTCTAGCAGCAGAAGCAATGAATTTCTGGTTCGTTTTGTGTTTCGTGAGCATAGCGGTAATTTTGGAAGTCGTTGAATCGATACCAAAGTACAAAGTTGGACATTTTGAACAACTTGTTGATCACTTTAACTTCGAAGAAAGCGCTTCATTTCAGCAACGGTATCTGTTTTCTGGTAGGTATCGGAATCTGAATAACTTCATGATAACTCTATTAATAAATAAGCTTTTCTGAATCAAATAAATGTTTCGCTTTCAATGCTTCATGTTTGTTTATTCTTCTTTTACGATATTCACAGAAATCTACTGGGATGGCAAAGGGCCAATCTTTTTCTACAGTGGAAACGAAGGAAGTATTTTAGGATTTTGGGAAAATTCAGGATTTGTCTTTGAAGCTGCTCAGAAATTTAATGCTTTGGTTATTTTTGGAGAACATGTAAGTATGAAGGGAAATGCATTCTCATGTATGTATTTTGTGAACTCTCATATTAGGCTGCGTTCATTATGTATACCTCGGGGGGGTGGGGG